TGATCACAGGGCCTACATTTCAGTGTCTGGTGCATTGCGGTACAGTTGTGTTCATATTCAGAAATTTTGCTGTTTTTCCAGTCTGAAAATACCACATACTTAAAAACGTGGTTAGAATGAGCATTTACTGTGTAGTTGGGATGCGGCGATACATTAGCTACTGTGCTAATCTGAGGAGAAGGATGAGCTGATACAGGAGCTAACATGCTAACAAAGACTTAGCCTATCCCAAAATATCAGTGGGATAGATCAGTGATAAAATGATCAGGCAGGAGGAAATGAACTGTTCATTATTGCTGATCCTGGACTCAGCTGTTTTTATATATATAAATGAAAACAATGGACCTTTTCATATGGCCACGAGAGGTGCAGGTTGCAGTTTGCAGTTGTAAAGACGTTTTTTTGTCAGTCCATCAAAAGGCCGTTGTCGTTGCAGTTTTCAGTCGGCTGAGGGAAACATAAGCAGCTCGGGCAGCATTGTGGCTGCTGGTGAGACGTGTGGAGCGAAGCTGAGGTTGTGGACGGGACCTTTCAGCTTCACAGCAGGACGGACCTCATTAACTCGTCTGGCTGAGAGGGGAAGTTTAGGGCTTCTGTACCGCAACAACGAAACAAGATACCAGTGATCTCATCCTCCTCTTCCCTTCATTCATCCCAAGCACTTATGAGTTGCCTTGGCAACTTGTGCGCTGTGTGTGTGTATGCGTGTTAGTGAGCATGAGCGGGGGCCTGAGAAACCACAGAGTGAAAATTATGTGTCATCAGAGAGGATTAGGAGCCCACGGTTTAGTAAAGGGCTTGGGATCCTGCTGCTGTCGTGCTTGAGGGTTTCATTCAATGTAAACACACACACATATACACTCTTATGAGCACTGTGAACCTGAGCTGCATTCCACAAAGGCAGAGGCTGATGACAAGGAAGACTGAAATTGATTTTCTTCCTGTAACGTGCAACAAATCTGCAACACATTCTCAGGCAGAAAACAACCAGAAAGGACAAATTCATCCGCTGAAGGAAGAGTGTGTCATGTCACGTCCATGTCATCCATTCGCCTTCTCACCTCAAAGTAAGCAGAGGATGTTTGTGGCTGCACAACAAAAAAAAGTTTTGGCATAATGTTTAGAATCAGTTCCTGTCCCGAGAAAAGATCCTGAAACCTGCAACTTGAATGTGACTCAGGTATTAATCCTGAAATCAGTGCAAGTCTTCGGTGACTCACCTACAGCTGTAATGGTTTCTGTCAGGGAGGACAAAGACGCATGTCAACAGGCAGATGCTTCAGTTCCTTCAAAACATGAAGTCTGAGACGAGCTGAAAAGACACAGAGACTTGTAGCTTCATGAACACATTTCATCATTTCACATTTTAACACTTTAAATTATTAAAAACTTTAATATTAATGGAATAGTTGCAATAGCAGGAATTTTTCTTCTACGATACAGTAAATATTTGAGCATCATTGATGCACTTCTTCCCTTGCATGAAAGCAGTCTATTATGTGAACCCCCCCCCCCCGCCCCCCCCCCCCCCCCC